GTGCTGTGCTTCAGAGAACACTAGTAGGCTCCTGAAAAGGCTTCAACAGGCAGGAGATCTGCCCAGAACTTAAGTTCCAAAAAGCTCAGCTAAGCTCACTTAAGGAAACACTAGGCAGGGTAAGATGAATGAAGATCTCTGCTAGAAGACAGCTTGACTTTGTCACCCAGGACCCTGACTCTTTTATATTCATTATTTGGGGCTTTATAAGGCCATTTTCTTGCAGGGATATAGTATATTTTGAACATACTTCCCTCAGACTCCACTTCTCTCTCCTTCCCACTTGTTCCCTTCGTCTCTTAGACAGTTTTGCGTTTCATTTCCTGTCGTCAGTGTATGCATGCTTTTATGTATTTATACTGCCTGGGACTGTGGAATTATTTCCTTTTCCTTTGGATCTTCTCTTCCTAATGTGGTCATGCTTCTTCTTCTCTGCAGTGACTCTGGCCTCCTTTACATCTAAGTATTGCTGTCTTCCCTAACCTGATCCCCAGTCCTTCCTTATTCACATCATAAGGCCTTGACCTCAACCTACCTGCTGGCTTTAAATATCATACTGGCACTGATGAGTCCCAAATACGCATTTTTTCTGCTCTGTGGGCTATTGTATTCATCCTCCTATTCCAATCTCCATTTGGCACCTAATAGGACACGCAAACTGAACTCTGGGCTCTTTTTTCAAAATTATTCATCAAGTTTTCCCAGTAATAGTAATGCCAACTCCATCCTTCCTATGCATAGCCCCCAATTTGGAATCACCCAAAACATCTTTCTTTTTCATATCAATCTATCATCAAACCCTTGGGTTCAAAATAGGACTTTCTTTTTCAAATGTTACCACTGTCCATCCAGCCAAAGCCCCAATCATCTTGAGCCTAGATTATTCTAATAGTTTAACCATATTAACAGATTATTTTTGTAATGGATCATTGTAACAGATGCCCTTGCTTCTGCTCTGGTTCCCTATGGGTTTACTTTGGACAGTGCAATTACGGTGTATATTTAAAAATATTAGGCCATATCTCTCTCAATGAAAGCCCTCCATGACTTTCTGCTTCCTTTAGAGTCAAGGTCACCATATTTATGACAGCCTAAGATGCAATGGAGTTTCCCCCCTCACCTCACTTCTGTGACCTTAACTAATACCACCCTTTCTGTAACTTGGCTGTGTATAACCTTTCCTTTGTATATCTCCCCCAGAGCCTGGGAGCAAGGTCTCACCTCAGAGCCTTCACCTTCTGATGGTCCACTAACCTGAGCACTCACCCCCAGGGACTCCCGATCTATGCTGCCTTGATTATTGAGTGTTTTCTGAAATGCAACTTTATTAGTCTTTCTCTGAATACTTTATTCAGAAACGCAATCCTTCCTCAAAGCCTGCCCCAGGTCCTCATCCTACTCAATTTCTCTTCATAACATGTCACATCATTGCCCTGTACTTGGTGTGTTTTCTGACATTCATATTTACCCCCTCTTCACCCAAACTGTGAACTTTATGAAGCCCACAGTGTGTTGGGCTGAGGGCAGATTCTCCACTCAGCAGAACATATCTTAGCACATAGTGAGGATGCAAAAGGAACTGTTGAGCAAACGGATGGAAATGATGGAGTCAGGGAAGCAGAGATTGGTTTGAGCACAGAAGAGGCAGTCTGAGATGGTTTGTTGGATATAGAGAAGGAAATTGGTGGCGAGGAAGACAGAGACTAAGGTTTTGACCCAGACCATTGACTTGGTGGTCAACTGTTTACTAAAATGGAGAAGATAACAGGAGGGATGGGCTAGAGATGGAGGCAAAGAAGAACAAATTGAATTGTGAAGTTGGAACTAGTTCCTTGGATGTCTCTGAGGCAGCTGGAACACTATTTCCCTTTCTTTCTTTCTTTCTTTCTTTCTTTCTTTCTTTCTTTCTTCTTCCTTCCTTCCTTCCTCTCTCTCTTTCTCCCTCTCTTTTTTTCTGACTTCCTCTCTTTCTCAAGATTCATTTATTTTTATTTTACATGTAGGAGTATTTCTCTGCATATATGTCTATGCCCCATACAAATGCAGTGCCTGCCTGCAGAGGCCACAAGATGGCCTTAGATGCCCAGAAATGGGAGTTACAGGTGGCTATGAGCCACCATGTGGATGCTGGGAACTGAACCTGGGTCCTCTGGAAGAGCAGTCAATGCTCTTAACCTCTGAGCCATGTCTTCAGTCTTGTAGGCACTCATTCCTATAAAGACAGAAAAACTGTGTAGAAGAGCGCTGAAAAGAGATTAGAGTGCAGAACCATTTTCTGGGGTAAGGCTGAATCTTGTCAGTGCCTTTCTTTGTTAAAACTGCTGAGCCAGCAACCCCTCAAGAGTTTACAGCCACTCCGAAAACCCCATTCTCCAAGCCTCCAAGAAGTCTCACTCTCAGAATGCAACCATTTTTCAGTTTGACTCTGGGGGTTCATGCTTGCCATTCAGAACCTACTATATTTCACTGCACCTCCTGACATTGTTACACAACATTTATTGAAAGCACATTTGATGGTAATGAAGTTTCTATTAACTATGATTAAATCTCATAAAGCACCTGAAGATAATTTAAGATGTGCAGAAGCAGAAAATGAAACATTCGGTTTAGTACATTAGGAAACGTAATTGATTAAATTATCTCATTTACAATAAGTGCTTTCATGAACTATGCAGTGTGCATATTTTCCCCAGTTTGTCATTATGATTTGCCAACACATATCTTAAGACTTCACTTTCTCTTTGTACTTGCCTGCAATGCAAAGCTAGCTCCTTTGCCTGTCTGTTCTGGAGAACGGTGTAGAAAACTCCCTCTGAATGATGTAGTCTACCCACCAGGGCGTATGGAAGATGATGTGTACCGCTATATATAGGAACAGGTTGTTTCTCAATTATCTTCATAATTGACTTTGATTTTGCATCAGTGATGATTCATGTCATCTTAAACCCAGCCCCCACTTCCACTGAACGACTAACCTGAATTTGTGTAATGCACTTCCAACCATGCAGCTCACAGAACCCTGACTGAATTCCTCTGGGAGCTTTTTGCAATCACATTGATTCTGGCATGGTTTTATTTTTAGGGAAATCACAAATTAAAACAGTTTAAATGATTCTGTTGCCATATCCAGCAATTACGCATGGTGCTTAGGAGCGAGAACCCCAAGCACAAATGAATTCAGGAGTCCCTACAGACAAGGAATAGTTTCTGTGGGGTTTATGCCTGAAAGTACAGATGTAACCAAATTCGAAAAGCACAGGACTCACAGACTAAGCATGAAATCAATTCTTTAAAACACACACACACACACACACATTTATAAATAATCCTCATGTTGGTTACGACATGGACACCCATGATCTTGTCATACTCTGTATACCCAAACTGGGGGATGACATGCACATGAGACTAGGAGAAACCACAGAGTTCAGCATCCCAGCTACCTCCCTGAGAGTCAGGACACAAGTATGGGCTGAATATTAAAGGCCAAGTTCCCTTCCCTTAGCATGTGCTCATATCAACACACAAACACACACACAGAGTGCTGAGTTCTTCCCAACTCAGTCTTCCCAAGCAAGTGTGCACGGAACAAAAAGTACACCACTTGGGCACCAATGGTTCCTTTACACATGGCAGCAGCAGATAAAGACACTAAGGAAGGTTTTGTTTTGCAGCGTTCTCAGATTTTAAGTTAGTGGCCTCTATGTGCTATAGGCTGCTCATAACAACAGAGTAGAACAGGGACAAAATGCTTGGATTGTCCTGTCATGTCTTTTGATGCTCACCCCTGGGTACCTATTTCTGTCTGTCCTCTAAGGTCTCGGTTTTCGTCAAAGCAGTTAGCTAATATGAGCTGTTAACTCTCCTAAGAGCTTTGAATTCTACTGTTGTGAATTGAAATCAACAGAAGGCATTCATCTTGCATTACATGAGAGAAACTGGACAGAGACAGGTTTCCCAAGCTTTACATTTCGAAGCAGCTGGGCAGCTGTTTATTTCTGTTAACGATGCCAGCTGTGTGGTTCTTGTCTCATAGCCTGAGATTCCTTAGTATGCTTCACCTATCTCTAGGTGCATGCAATTACTTAGACACAATAACATGTCAATTCTAGGAGTATCCCCCATTATAGATTCTAATTCATTTTTTTTCAAAAGTAGAATATGTTTATTAAATTCCCATCATACTCCAAGATTCTGATCTGTTTGGTCTCCCATTCACAAATTCTATGGCTATGGTTTGCAATCTGAGTGCATAATGGAATCACATGGGGGAGCCCTGAAAACTAAAGATTTCTGGATTCTAATCCCTGCTCCCCAACTCCCAATTTTTCAAAGGCCTCCAGGTTACCATAATTGCATCAGCTGAGAGCCATGGAGTCAGATGCCAGGCTTCCGACAATTGAAGCCATGTTCCTTTCTCTAAATCCCCTGGATGCAAAACAGAAATAATGCAAAGGCATCTCCAGAAAGCAAGCCTGTAACTAGGGTACTGAAGCCAACACCAACACGCAGCTCGGACCTATTTCACTGTGGAGTGTTGGCTCTAATCTCCCTAGTTACCATGGATGCCACAGCAGGTGAGACTCCTGGCTGGCATTCTCCAGAACCCTTCCTTCCCTGCCATTTCCTGGAAGGGCTAGGAGCCAGGCGTTTGCCCACAAAGCTGCTCTCATGCATTCGTATACCGACAAATATTTATTAATTTTAATGCTATAAATCTCTCCAGAAATAAGAATCCTAGCTGACATCTGCAGAGAAATGGACTTAGAGGCAGAAAGAATCAAGAAGAGAGATTTACTTTGGCTTTGAGGGAGGGGAAGGGCGTGCATATTTCTTTTTGATTTAAACCTCTGATATGCGACTCCAAACTCAATGAGGAGAGGCCCCGAAAGCTCTGGATCTGCCAGAGGACTTCACTTCTGTTTGGCTCCTGAACAAATACAACAGCAAGGCAGCAAATATGAGAATAAATTATATCCACAAGAGGAAAAATAACTTACTTTGGGGTTTTATTTCATGAAGAGGTTTTTTATCTAAAAGAAAGAAAGAGAAAAAGAAAGTTGCATTTAATAAATTTACATGGAGCAGATATATTCCCGGTATTACTTTGTATGGCTTTCTATAAATGATACATTTTCTCCACTTTGCAGGCAATATGGATTATGGGGCCCACATTTTTTTCTTTTGCATTCTAACTTTTTATTTGCCTCTTTTTGAAATATTTCCATGTGATGATTATTTTATTTAAGAATATATTTTCTCTCCAGTTTGCTAGCATATTTTTTCTCTGTTGCTTCTGCTCAATTCTTATCTGCATGATGAGTGCAAGGAGCTTGCTGCCTGCTCCTTTTAATGCCCAGGGAGCAGCCTGCTCAGGCAAGAGATGCCATTTCAGTATACATGAAGACAGAAAAATGAGCCAGGGAATAAATATGTAAAGAGAGCCTGCAGTGGTTTGCAGTAATCATGGTCTGGATGCAAACTTCCAAACTGCCTGTTGAGCCATTCCCTGGGGCTATGGATGTGGTGTTGGGAGCACTTTCAGTTTGGGTTTTTGTCCCCTCTGCCCCCAATCTGTTTAAATGTCTGTTGTCTCTCAGTGAAGAAGATGTGGTCTTATGTGCAGCAAGCTGGTAGGATGTAGCAGTGAAAGGCAAAGGTCATCTGGACCTCAGCGGTCAGAGTCAGCTGAGGCATTTGTGACAGTTCTTCCCAAGGCTCTCAGTCCATCAAGTACCATCCGGTCCTGTTTCCCACCAGCATCTAATTCTAAATCTCACACTGATATTGGAGCCTGTGGCTTACTTTGTTTTGCCCAGGGTCTCCCTCTTTCCTCCTGTTCTTGGTTCCACCTCAGGCTAAACACCACTGTGGAAGGCAGATTGAGCACTTTCCAGACGCCAGGGCAAAATGCCAGGATTTAACATTTTGCAGAGCCTCCTGAATTCACAGGGGTGTCAGTGCCTCTCCTAGTCCTCTTCTAGGCTTCCAGATTACACAGGTCAAGGTCATTGGCCACTCACAGAGTCACAGAGCTGGGGCCTTGCGAGGTTACCTTCTACAGACTTGTTCTCTATGAGCCTGAAGATGGCCACATAGAGTGAGGCTTTCATTGTGGATTATGGTTTTAACAGAATCAAACCCAGCATGCTGTATATTTTAGAACTTCATAAATAGTATCTTACTGACGGCATAATAACTCCTCCCAGGCAGATAGGCTGCTATGGTCAGTTTGCCTAGGAATTTCTGCCAACTAAACCCACGTCTGAATTTCATAGTGATCTTGACAGAAAGTTCTTATAGTACATAAATATAGGGTGCTTGGAATATGGCTTTTGTGTGTTTTGCAGTCTGACCTGTGATGGAAGAAGATTTTACAAGTTGGATGCAAACCATACTCCTGTATATGGATCATTTAATGGTCAGGGAGAACGAGACAGCAGCAGGTACTGCTTGTTTTCAAACGAATGCTTTCTGGGACGACAATATAGTATTTATATTGACATGCTCATATAGGATTTTTCATTCACGTTTCTAAGAACACTTGCATGCCCCTCACACAGACTCGACACACTTCCCCGAGAGCAGGTGGCAGCTGAGACGTCCAGATGCTACTACTCTCAACAATTAGAAGGCGGCGACGGCTTTGGTGGGTTCAGCGGAGCTTCCGGTTTGCTTACTGCGAGGTTCTGGATGCATTGGCACAGGCACCAAGAGGCTGGCGGGCCAGGGCTAAGATGCCTGAAAGTGATGCATTGTCACACCCACGAGAGGAGATAGGGGAACATCTGTTTAGGACTTTGGCTGAGCGCAACTATATTTTCTCCTCTGAACCATGGGGACTGGGAATTAAACCAGGGAACAAAATGAAATGCCATTAAGAACAGGTGAGATGCAAGATGGAGCCTTCAGAAAAAAAAAATACTGATAGCCAAGCTGTGAGAAAAATAGGGTGGTCGGGTTCTACTGAGAACAACCTGAAATAAGAGGAAATGTGGCCTAGAAGCCAACGCTTAGAGACAGAGGCACTTTCGCAGGGACCCACAAAGCAGGGACCCTGAGTTTCCCTCTGACCCAGTTCTGGAGCCAAGGTGTTTGGCAATGTGGCACTATACAAATAACACAGACTTGGGGGTCTCAACTGGACTTGATCTTTAGGGGTTCCACATCCTGTTGATATGCCTTGAAGGTTACAGTGAACCGGGCAAAGTAACACCCTTAGAGTTTGATATTCAGGACTAAGCAGGATAGATACTGGACCATGAAGCACAGGGTAGACACAGGGTTGGCTTAATAATTGCAACAAATGACAGTCAATGAAGTAATTTCAACGTATGATGATGGTTGCGAGCCCAGTAACTCATGATGCTTATCTGTGTTCCTGCTGGGAAACAGATCACAATGCCAGGTCAAGAATTGCACGGATTTGGGGCGGGGTGCTGGAATGACAGTTAAACTAATGTCTCTGCCATGTTGAGACCAAACTAAGGCACAGCTTAGTCCCTTGTTGTTCAGAAGAAGAGAGGGATCCAGAAATCCTCTAGGAACCCTTTGCCTGAATCCATCATTGTTAGCCTTAAGGGGGGCAACAGATGATATGAAAAGAAAAGTCGTTCACAATGGTTTCCTGCTGCAGTATAAAATGCCCTCAAAGGCCACTGTTCTCCTGGCCAGTATGTCTTCTGTTTCAACAGCCACCTTTTAGAAAAAGCTGGAAAGCTCTGGAGCCCCAAGGCATTAGTCTCCTGGCATTAGCATCCAAACTGGGTTCTGCTGTGTTTTGTGAAATAAGAATATCTGGAAAAGAAGCGGCCACAGAACAGCATTTTCCTCGGTTAAACACTGAATTTGACCTCAGCCCTCTGAATGTGCTAGAGAAGGCCATCTAGCGACCTCTCTAACTTTGAAGGCTTGGCCCACACCACACTGTTTTACTCTGTTTGCATAATCATTCTCTCACAAAGCTCAAGGCCATGAAACAACTTGGCCTTGGTCAACCAACACCTCTCCACTTTAATTTCCCCCTCTCCAAAGGGCTGCATTCAAATGGCCCCCTAGTAAATTAATCCATTAGGGCCAAGGTTCTTAATGTTGGCTGCACGTTGGAATCACCTGGGAGCTTTTAGAATAAACACCCAGGCCTGGGCCCCACTCCAAGAGGTCCTGATTAATTGGGGTTTGTGTTTTTTGTGATTACTACTACATCCTGGCAAGAAACCAGGAGCTGTGTGTGGTCAACTCCAGTTAGTCTCTGCTTCCCTAAGGGGCAGTGGGCGGGGGACATACAGACAGGCCTAGGAAAGCTGGGTTTCTATTTGACAAGCACAGAATTAGTGCGATTTTGAGCCAGTGGCAGCTAAGCAGTAGTTCTGGGAAATCACAGCCACTTCTTAAGGTCTGCCTTAAGCCCCGGGAGGGCAAAAGGATGGAAGGAAATGGATGATAAGCAATTGTAACTCCACCTTATTTACAAGTGAATGAATCAAAGGAATTTTCAACAGAGTCTTAAGGTGTTGTATCTTGGAAAATCATGTTTGCTGTTAACTTCCTAAGCAGCCTAGACAGGCACGGAAGGGAGGGAAAAATTCACCGCAGAGAATAAACACTGCTAATGGTAAGCCAGATATGCAAGTTTAGTTTTTTCTCTGATTTTTATGTATACGCCATTAGATAAAAATAGGTATGCTTACATACGTGGTAGCATGAAAACATAGGAAATTACCAATTATATTATCATTTTCACGTAGGAAAATTATAGCTTATTGTGTTGCTTTCTGCCTTTGTTATTATTAGTGTTTACTGTAATGCAAATAAGGTTTTGTGATTCCCTGCCCCCAGTACATGTGTATGTGTATGTAAAAGTATGGATCTGCATGAGAGAAAGGGAGGAACGAGATGGACATGGAGGATGGGGAGAGGATGGGACAGGAGATGCAAGGGAGAGGAGAGGGAGAGATGGGAGGTGGAGGGGAAGGAGAGGGAGGGGTGGGGAATAGAAGGGTGGAGGGGCCGGAGGGAAGGAAGGGGAGGGGAGGGAGAAAAAGATGGGGAAGGGAACAATGGGGGAGGGAGAGAGGAAGCACTTTACTTTTTACCTTTGATGATGATTCATTCTCTTCTGCCTTACTTTAACCCTCGTTTCTTTCCTTCCATCTAGGTTCCCAAAGCATTTCCGTGGGCTCCACTATTCTTGAAAGATTCATAAAGCCACCCACTGGCACTCAGCCCTACTGGAACCAAATGTGGCCAGGCTCATGCTACTCACACGCTGGGGACTTCAGAGAGCAGGCCTGAGGACAGAGGGGCTGCATCTCTAACTCCACATTTCTTTGGAGGCCATGGACTGTGATTCTTTGACACCTGTGTCCCTTGTTTTCAAACGGTGAATAAATATGTTTTCCCCCCAGTGTCTGTGTGGCTTCTGAGACTCACAGTGCCACTAACGTACACAATATGCAAGATATAGCTCTTTCCCCAGACTGAAAACCAAGGGTGCCACCATAGTCAACATTTAACCTTCTTTTCTTTCATTTCCAAAGACTACTTTCATTTCCTTCTTCGTAGATTTCATTCTTTGAAATCTTTTCTGTCCCTAAAATATGCACACTAACTCTTTTATTGTAATTCACTTTACCCATTTTTCAGACTCACGTTGTTAGGTTGGCACAAATGTGGAATAATCTGTTTGGTTTTTTTTTTATTTTTATTTTTTTTTACGTCCATACTTTGGCTGTTTCTTTATTTGTTACAATAGCTTCTAGCCTCAGCACGCAATATTTAACCCTGATCCTCTGCTGCTCAGACCATAGCCAATTGCTCTGCCTTCATGGTCGCACCACACCGAATAGGAGTTCATTCCTATAGATTGTCAACTAAACTCAAGCGGCTGCCAGATATATCTACGAACCCCCAGCCCCATTTTAAGCTTCGGTTCGTGGCATCGCTTCTCTTTGGGACACCCCTTCCCACTCCAGTCTCCCAGAAAAGCCTCCTGCCTCAGAGACGCAGTCCATGAGGACTCTGGCGATTCCTT